CTGTGACAAATAGCTACTGCTTTCTTACTATCAAGAGATTATACAATATGTTGCCAGAGATAAACATAACTTAGTAGTTATCTGTAAAACTTGTTTACAATCCCCCACTCTTTTTATGGATACATATAATTGCAGTTGGATTAGTGTAATCATCAACGAGATAGCGTATATTTTGTATTTCGTCCAGATGTATTTTTCTTTAAAAGTTCTGAATATTCCTCTTTTAGTGTACTGTGAAGATGTTCTACTTTTTAGAATGTTTCATGAGATTTTTTTATACATTTAATACCCTTGTAAACGTGTTAGAGTAGAATATTTAAGTTATTTTCACTACAGTTTAGAACTATTTATTTTATTTGGGGTTTAACATCTTTTTTATATATATATATAACTGAAATTATGCAGATACAAATGGTAGAGTAGTAGAATTTATCTTCCAAGAAAAGAGGTTGGTATATTTGGATAATTGTGCATCTTCTAAGAGGTTTTGAAGTATAACTGATGATAAGTCTATGTCTATTTAGGATTAAGAATAAATATTTAATTCTGTACTAATTTACTGTCTACTGTGTATAATGTTTTTCTTAAGTTTTTTGGATATGATTTTATAACTGTTGTCCAGGTATCTTTATTTTGCTGTAAACTAGAAATAGCCGATCTGGCTTTAGTTTATACTCTCCTGATTTTTCAGGGTACCGTAAATTTTGTCTAACTCTTTTCAAAATTGTATCTTCTAATGTAAACACCCACCTTTTCTAAGGTATTTCGTAGGATATAAATGTCAACGATATCTTCTGTTGGAAGCAAAGTTAAAGCCTTACACCTAAGTGCTTCTCTCTCTCCAACGTTTTCTGGTGGTAAATCAATACTGGACTAAAATATGAAATTTCCGTTTTACTGCACTATAATGTCATTAAATAATTTCACATGAATGATTTGGCTATTGAAACTCTCCTTTCATCTGAACGATGGCTCTATGGTTCTAATAATAAATGGCACAACTAATGTTATTAAAAATGTCAATGCGGTCTCTAACTCTATTTTTATACAAAATATGTGCCAGGTAATCAGTCGTGTGATTTTATATGAAAATATCTTCCAGTGTAGTCCATGCTCATAAATACTCTCTTGATACTACTCTCTTTGCAGCTCCGGAAGTGATAAGAAAACATGGGTTGATAAAATGTATAACCACTTCAAACACTAAAGCAAGGTTATGAATCAATGAGATGCTAAGAACTTATGGCTGACCCTTCTATTACAGTTACTTCTCATTGATCAACATTACTTAGTGGTGAATCACATGCTGCCAAACGTCTTCTTAGAGCATCCATCAGATTAAAGTCCAGTAAACATGCTATCCAGTCAATTCACTTGATACTCTATTCTTCCATAAACATGTTGAAAAGTTGAACCTGATGAATGTTATCACTTATCAAAAAAGGTTCTGATCAACTACATTCAAAGTGTCATACCATAGCACCTTAAACATGTATTCCATCAACTCCATACATGTGACTTTCATTCGTGAAACTTGGGTTGTAAATGGTTCTGGGCACTCTTAAAATATGTACTTGTCTCATAGCAGTCTACAGTTTGAAACCTGGTTTAGCTATGGGTAAGACATTCGCTCACATGTCATTTAGCCAACCCCTATAGAGGAACCACACCATTGTTGTTTAGAAAGAAAGTCAACCTTAAACCTGTTTCTAATCGTTTGTATACTGATTTGTCGGCCACTAATTGCTCTGCAATGCTGATTCAGTTCAGGAGCTGAGGTGCGAGGGTTTCTTTGATACACAACAATGGTCTACCCTGTTCATGTCTCCAGCTAAATGTATTGATGGTCTGAAAGCGTGTCTACGTCCTGCTTACCACATTTTGGAAGACTTAAAGCCATTTTGCAAAGACTTGTTGTGTTTGATTAGCTTCTAACCAATCTATTGCTCTCAGTATCTCGAGCACAATGTGTTTATTATGATATTGAAACTATCAACCTGATCTATTTACACACTCAGCTGTTGTTCAAACTGTTAACTGAGAACACATTCTTCCATTTTCTATGCAACTGCAATTTGGAAGTCAGATGATATGACAGGCCATCTGACATTTGTTTTACATAAACATGAACTCAGATCTGTCATTGACATTACATAATAAAAATAGTTGTGCTTTGTCATAACTTGAATATAGACAATTCCGAATATAAATTAATTATTTCGAAAAGTGTACATTTAACAGCCAAACATTCTGTTTCAACGAAATCGAATTTCTTTCCAATTTCAGGTTTTGTTTACCAACTTTTAACATTTGAACTTTCGGTCTTACATGAAACATTTTCACAAACTTAAAACTAGTCTGTTGCAGTGGATTAGTGAATAAAATAATATGTTAGGCCTTTCTCTACTTTACATTTTCTTCACTGAAACTTGCATGTTGGTGGAGAAAAGATATTAACAATTAGCTAACACTTTTCAATTATATACATATAGAGTAGATTATGTTTAACCAACTTCATTGCAGTATTATATTGTTTCAATAACTTTTAATATTAACATATCTTTAATTTGTGCCTTCTTGGAGTACTATAAATGAAAGACTGTCTCTTTGCTTTCTTTTACTATACGTTTTGTTTAGTGTATTCTTAAAACCTATCCTTTACTTCCGTCACGCAGAAGCCTTTGCTTTCCATTAACTTTCATTCTATAACCTATTTGATGCCTAGCTTGCCTTGAAATGTGGAATCTTCTAGTCCCAGCCTATTGAGTGAGGAACGTTTGAATTTTTTCCTGGCCTTTTACTTTTTTATCATATAAGTCTTTCTCTGAGCTTCTAATCTCCGCACTCTTGTTGGTGATAAGATTGTTGCGAAATATATTCTTCATCTTCCCACACGTCGTCCTTATCCATCAGTGCTACTTTTATGTACTAATCCTCCAATACAAGTGGCACGCTGTATTAGGCAGTTGCTGCCTATTTCACCTTTCTTTGTTCATCATATAGACTTTGCTAAATCATCTATAAAAGAATAAATTGATAATTAATTTGGAAAAACATTGTTAAAGTAATCATACCTTTAAAGTTTTGCATTTAGCGAGCCTAACTGATTATCCAGTTATCCAAAACTAATCTTCGGATCTTCTTTTCACCAGGAGTTTGTGGTTAGAATTTACCATTTCTGAAATTGAACTTCTTTACTCCATTTTATGTCACCACTTAAACCATTGAACAGAAACGTTTTCCAACTGTTTGTCATTAATTCTATTTGAGAGCAAGTTAAGCAATCTTCTCTTGAAAAATTACACCATTTTATCTATATGTTTTCCTTATTAACAAATCTCTTTCTCATCATTATCGAGCTCAGATGTATATTGTCGTGCTAGGTTTTATTATCTGATACTAAATGTTTTATCGTTTTGAGTAATGTTGTTCCCTGTTTCTCTGTGTTTACTAAATTGCCTTAACTTTTTACATCATTCATCCTCACTAACAGAAAAACGTTTGTCTCTTTGTCCTTTGTGGTTTCTATTTTGTTTTGGAATCTATAAAAGTATCGTTATAAACTACAATATATTTTTAATTGGTGAACGATTGGTTTCTTTTGTTAATATGTTTATTCTATAAACAAATTGTGCATTAAAATTTGAAAATTCCTCTTGAGTGTAAGTTTTCGTCGCTTTAATGTCTGCAGGCTTGCGGGAATACTCTTGTTCTTTGATTATTTCCCACATCGCATATCCTTTGTTGTCAAGAAGTAAGTGAGTTGGAAATACCTCATTAAACTTATTTATGGCCACCATGTATAATATAGGAACATGGAAACAAGGTAAAATATTCAAAGAAATGATGGTATTCACCACGAACGATTTAGCACCGATTGTATGCTGTAAAATACTAGTGAGCTTTGAACCTTTTTGCATATTTCCGATTTAATATTTTATTGCTTCTGAAGAAGACAGTAAAATAATTTTATCCCATTGGCTTGTATGCAATAGACACTCACACTTAGATAACAGGCCAGAGCAAAAAGGATGACAAAAGAAACAGTATTTGTTCTCCCGTGGTTATATTTTTTTAAATATTTATCATGAAATATACTATGACTAATAAACACTTCGTGTTCTAGTAAAGTTGTGTTATAGATTTCTCGAAGTTGTTTGATTTGACATATTTTCAAGAAACATAAATCCAGCGTTAGATAAAGTTTTAAGATATAATAACGAAACGAGTTTTCCTTAAATAAAATAGAGGTTTAGCTGAATTAGTTAAAATAGTTGTATTTCTAATCAAATGGCTATTTTTTTAGTTATGTAAATGTATGTTTTCTGTTTGTTTGTTTTTTATTTCACACAAAGCTACACGAGGGCTATCTGCGCTATCCGTCACTAATTTAGCAGTGAAAGACTAAAGGGAAGGCAGCTAGTCATCACCTCCCACCGCCAACTCTTTGGTTACTCTTTTATCAACGAATAGTGGGATTGACCTTCACATTATAATGCCCCACGACTAAAAGGGCGAGCATGTTTGGTGGGACGAGGATTCGAACCCGTGACCCTCAGATTGCAAGTCAAGTGCCCTAAACAGTATGTTTTCTTAAGAAATTTTGGTTCAATAGCAAGAAATCTAGGTGATATAACATACCTAAGCCATTTTATCAGTTCATTCATATGCCATTTTGCCTGCAAATTAGGAGTAGAAAATTATAGATTAATGTGTTTAATAACCTAATAGAACGTATGATAAATGTTATTAGATTTTTATGAATTGTCTTAAAAGTTAAAAAATTGAGATTTTGCTAAACGAAAAACTTAAAACGTAATGTATCAAAAGCATCTACAAGTACTAGTCTGTAAAGCATTGTTATAGACATAAATTTGGTTAACGAGACTATGCAACTAGTTGCCAGCTATTTGTCAACTCAACCTACTGTTGCAAAATGTTTCAATTTTCGGTCGCTTTCAACCAACGCAGTTAGCTACGTCACGAAAACGTAGCCCGAGCCAAGAGATCAATTCAAGTGATAGTCATTTCCATGTCAAATTAACCTGTGGCATCCGCCAGTGTTTCTCATAATTTACCTATTTCTCGTCGATAAGGGTTGTTTCCTTGTAGTCCACTCGTGGCGCTAGAGTCCTTCTGCAGGTTCAAGCAAGAGTCCGGAAATTCTGACAACCACTGAAGCTATGGGAGTGTGGAACAGGAATGAAAACATAGGTTTCACCCAGTCACCTCGTGTTACTCAGATTTTATCACCAGAAGGTAGGTTGGTTTTATTAAGACTGTCTTACAGTTATAGTAATTATACATTACTGACGGTTTAAATTTTTAATGTATTAAACTTTGCTATGCTAAAATATATAGTTTCATACAATTCAAAGATTAAGTTAACTTTGTAGAATATAAAATGTTATCATTACATTATATATTATAGGCGTGCTAATAATACTTTGCGTTCTTCTAGATTTTCTACACTTTTTTACTTCCTAATGAGTTAGTGTTACATGATATATTATTAAAGTCTTAACGTTGCGAAATAAGTTCCTGAAGCTATACCTTAAGTATTTCTAGAAAAATATCATTGCATCATATATTCATAAAGCATTAGCACTATTTAATACGTTCTTAATGTTCACACAATGTTACATACTTTAAAAACGTTTGCAACGCGTTACATATTGTTAAATTTTTAGTGCTGGTTTACTCATTCCAAGTGATAGATCTAAGTTATATATTTCTAGTCTGAGGACTGCATCAGATATTTGCAGAACATTAGCATTACGTTATATATTCCTGCAATGTGTACACGAAGATATATATGTATATTCCTAAGTATGAGCACTCATTACATATTCCAAGAGTACACTGTCTACATTATAAGTTCTTAGAGTTTTAACATAACTTTGTATATCTCTAGAGCATTAGCAATATATTATATATATAATATATAATATATTTCTAGACACTTACTGCTACTATACATACTCCAAGTGTCAATTTAGATATGTTGTTTTCAGTCTGTCATGTTTCATATATATGTCTAGAATATCAAACTTAGGTTATATATATTCCTATAATATTAGTACTACGTTACATATACCTATAATATAGGCACTTATTACACAATCCTAGAGTGCTAGTTTTATGTTATAGAGTTTCTCAGTATTATACAATCGTTAGGGTTTTGTTATATACTCATAGAGTATTAGTTTTTAGCTAGGGGTTATATCGTTTTTCAATAGTCACTTTTAACAATCTAGTATTAGAAATGTACTGGCTGTTTAACTACATGATAATGTTTGAGCTGAGGGTATTACTATGTCCTGTTGGTGTGAATTCTCTGCTTAGTTGTAAACTCTTTTAACGATAATAACAGATTAACTAGATCTTGAATTATATAAGTTGATTCTTTATTAAACACTGTACGAATTTACTTACTTTTAGCTATATAATTGACTTCTTCCCAGCAACTGTTAAACTGTATACTATATTATACTCGCTGTTTGATTGCTTTTATGATCTATTTTATGAACATGTAACTGAGTTTTTATTCTGTATTGTTACATTGTCTCATATATATTGTCTGTTTAATTTTGTTCTGTCTTGCATAAAATGACTGTTTACATTTGCAGTGAATTATACAGATATTCTTCTAAATGAACTACCTACGCTTGTTAGATTTAGGTTTAGTTTAATATTAGCGTCACTGAGTTATAAAAGCAGTTAATTCATCTTTATATAATTTTTACAGATCAGTTACCAGTATTTTTGTTGTTGTTGTTGTTGTTTTAAAACTAGCTGAACGTTAACTTCTCTAACTCCGTTGCTATTTGCGCTTTGTATCGCAAAGATCGAATTCTAAACCTTAACATTGTAAACCCCAGTGGATGGCATAAAAATCATACCAAAGTTAAATTGAACTTTAAATTAACTTGTTAGACCAACCGCTCCTATTTTCCTAATGATTTTTTTCTGCTCCATATGTATATAAGGTTTTCTAATTAAATAATTGTTTGTTTTTATTTTGAGTTTTTTTTTTAAACGCAACAAACTAACTATAGTACCCAAAAGAACAACTATGCATTATATCAAGACAATTAAACTGGATGAAACTTATAATAATTTTAACTTAGAATATCATGTATAGTTGTCTCTAATTTTAAACTGATATACTAGAAAGGAAGAAGATAGACACCGGCATCCACCGCCAACTTTCAAGTTATGGGATACTCCACAAAATGATATACATCTGCTTAACTGGTAATATTTTATAAACTAAAGTTACACGTATTTTTGTTGTCAAGTGACACTATATTTCCTTTAGGTGCTGTTACTATTCTTAAAATTAACAGTGCTATTATTGTTAAATTCCAAAACAAAAACTATAACAAATTCAGGCCTAAAAAGGTAAAAATATGGGGAACTGTAGCTTAAGACAAAGATTCATAAGCTAAACCACTGTTTTTTTTGTCTTAATAATCACACCAGTGATCTAAACAACCTGTTACCAAAACAAATCTTACTTATTGAAAAATGCTTTTTATTTATTCAGTTTTATTTTTTATTATTGATTTTTTTTCATTTTTCGTATCTTATACATTAATTCTCTAATATTAGCATTCTGATTTAATTAGTTTTACCTGTGGAGTGTAGTTAAGTTTTTTATTCTTTATTTGATTTTATTATTGGGCAACTACCTTCCAATAATTGGCTGCAGGTAGTTTGAACGTGTAGTTTGGTTCAAAGCATTATGAATTCAATAAGGCTCTCTAATAGTTTCAAATGTCTTCATTGTTGAAAGCAAATTGTTACCCGCGTTGGTGTATAATTGAATAAACAAATTATCTTCAACGTTATTTGAATGCTAGTACGCAGTCATGCACCACTGACGACTAAATAGGTTTTGGACATTTTGTTTCGAGATGTCTTGTATTTGCGCGTTTTTGGATTACATTTTACGATATTTTCCATTCATATTTTTGTATTTTCTCACAACTTTCGCCCACTTACACGTGTTGATGTAAAGTTCTCATTTTGTAACTGCATATTTATGATTAATACTATATGTTTATACACGGTCAGAAATAGAAAAATGTGGAATTACTGTTGCCATTGTGGGGAAAATTTACGCTAAAGTAAAAAATATATAAGTGCTTCATTGTAATGTTTCTCAATATATATACATACATACAAGAGGGAAAAGCTAATACATCTCATGAAATGGAAAGTTAACAATGCATAAACAAATAAAACATATAACAACTGTTTAGAATATTTTAAAACATTTGATGTACACCGATCGTGATCCTAATTACCTTATATAGGTCTAAGTCAGGAACGTTATATATTCAAATTTAATTTAATTTGTTGGTGTATTTATCATGACAGTTATTACATATGCGTATTTTAATTCCAATGTGAACAACGTTTGTTTTTGTTTCTTCATTGAAAAGAGAGTTCGCTAATCTAAATTTAAAGCAAGATAATTCTAGGATAACCAAACACGAAACGTTTAAAAATAATCTTTATAAAGTTACGTCCGTGCATTCGTTATATTAATTTATTCATTTACTTCCTACCGGTTTACTGAGCTTCAACTAACATTCAACCTGTACATCTGATGAAAGTTGGATTTTTCATTGTCACTATATATATATACAATTTGCTATACAGTATACACGTGTTAGTTCTGTCTTTTGTATCATTTCAGAATGAATAATCACTGTATTTACTCTATTTAATCCCATACACTAGGTTTTTAATTTTCTTGACTTCACGTGCAAAGTTCTAAATACAGCCAACACGGCCTCTAAAACAAAGTGCGTATTATTCGTTTTATTGCATAATAAGATGAAAGAAAATCAGTTAATTATATCTCTCCATAAAAGCAGCGTATGATAATGTATAACTTTGTGATAGAAAATGTGACCTTTTTGTTTTATTTTGTTAGATCGATAGGAGATACAAATACCAGTCTCCACTAAACGGCATATCCATGTCTTGTGTCATGTGATTCAAGACGTGCAAATAACCAGCTTTTCTCCATTATTATATGTGTATATGTGGTTCAACATGTGTATATGTTGCTCAACATGTGTAATGGAACACGTTTCTTTCGGGTAAACATTGCATGATTTTCTTTTATAGGCTGCTAAATAATGTGAGTTTTACATGACATTACAATTCTTCCAACCGCGAGGATCTTATGTTCTTACATAGATATCGTAGTAAGCTAGTTTCACCCACATCTTGAAGAAACAAGCTTTTTTACTTGTTTGCTTTTGCAAGAAAATAATTAAGGACATTAGGTTGGTGTAATTTACAAGGTTGTCATGCAATGATATAAATAGCATACCACTAACTTGTAATACCTAAAACTTACGTTTATTTGCCGTGTAATGATGAAAACAGAACCTGAGCAACTTGTCAAGCCTAAAGCTTATATTTTGTTGTGGTGTAGGGATGAAATCAGAACATGAGCAACTTTTCCTATGTATGCTTATGTTTTGTTATAGTGTAGTAATGGAAATAAACTATGAGCAACTTGTTAGGATTAAAGCTTATGCTTTATATTGTCGAACAATTAGTATCTTAGGCTAGTTTTAATAAAAATGGAATATTTTAGCAGGTGTTAAATACATAGCTTTCTCTTTAAACACAAACTGATAGACAGGTCGAAAACCTGAGACATATGGCTGTATAAAATGTTAGAAATATTTTTTGAAAAATGTTGGTAAATACTTTGAATGTGCTGAATCAAAATCTACTGTCTGCCAAGCTCTATTTTGACTGCTTAGACTTTAAAATCCTAAAACTCAAATGGCCGCCAGTGAAGAGAAAAATCAGTTATTTTCCATGACACTACCTACTGGAGACCCGACCTTCCATTTAATAATACTGTCTAGTCATTTCCGCGCATACTAAATTTTGAGCAATTGTTATTTTTGTTGAATTTCAAAATAATCGGGCATTTTTTGTTGTTGTTTATCTTTCCGCGTGGCGATGCTTTTCATAGCATACTTGATACCTCTTCGTGTTTGTGATAAATATTATACCCCCCAACATACTACTCAAACAAATAATCTGAAACCCTTCATTACAACAAAAGTAAGAGGGTTTGGACCGTGAAAATGTTGTTCACTGCAGCTGAGACTGTGAACTCCTAGTGATTATCACCATGCATGTAACATATTTCCTGCATAAGATGACTTTTAACCACTCCAGCTTTCGTAATTTGCTGACTGACTGCTAATTATATAAAG